TACAAAGAAATGATAACCGATAAGGTGTGACGAGGAACAAGAGTTGCAACATGAAACATAGAATTTACCATGTGTAGTGTTGGCTGCTGGAATTGCGAATTTTTTGGCTTCTAGCGGTCTAAGTTGCGAGCGGGAAACGCTCGATGCATGTCATATTCGTGCGACAGAAATCAAGTTCGTCATTTGTTAGGAAACGCCATATTCTCATATTTTTGGTTACATGGCTGACCTGGCCGACTGACATCCTGGCCACATGCTGAAGCCACCTCAGCTGTGCTCCGTCGGTCTGGAGTGGAAGCGGATATTTCCGTAGAGTTTTATTTTACATGTCATTTGGAAAGTTGCATTCTGCTGATATCGCATTAATATGAATATACCGGGTTTCGTCCATGTAACTGAAGACTCACACTCGTAAACTTCTGTGCACTGTTCAGAGAAAACAAAGTATGCAGGTATTGCATAAAACGCTGGGGCTAAGTGATGTTTCTCAAGAAAAATCATGCGTACAAGCATATATAAAAGCGGGTGCATGTGTAGTCAATGGTAAGAAATGACAGAAACTTTAGTTGCTATCACCAGAAGTTTCTGAAAGTAAAATCTGATTTAAGCTAATGTCTTATGTAGAAGAATATTTCGGCTCAAGGTATGCGATGTCATAAAGACTCATGACAAACACATTCAGTCTGCCTAGAAAACTTGCAAAGATATACAGTCACACACAGAAATCACTCGCCCGTTAATTTGTACAGAACCTGTCACATATGATCATCGTTACCATGATCTGCATTAACGTGTGCACTGTTTTAACGCAGAACTTGACAATGATTAACGCAGAAAACATTCGCGCAGCCAGTCGACACTCCTTCAACAGCGATAATAATAATGATTTCACCTTCAAGTAGCTCAAAAACTTTCGGGAAATTGTAAAAAGTAAATTACTGCGTGATACTACGGCAACTTTTTCAGCAATAATCCTCTCTAAGCATAGCAGGCCGTTTACTGCCAGTCTGCATTAAAGACATTTCCATTGCGATTGGAAAAATTTTCAGCAAAATCCAAAGTCGAATAACATTTAAATCATTCAATTCTGAGTTCGCTTTTTCTCGTCCATTACTTTCAACAGTTAAACATGCAGTTAATTTAACTAACATTTAGTTAATTTAACTGCTCTCTATCAAAAGAGTTTGCCGCAGGTTTCCTTTGCACAATTCAACTGATAACTAATAC